TTTCGGATGTAATTTTGACAAGGCCAGACAACCCCCATAGAATGCTCCAATGTCCGAAATTTAGTACTTCAAGTACCCGAAAATGCGGCAAAAAAAACATCCGGATCTGTATTTAACTGAATGTCATTGCCCCGAAAATACGGCCGAAAAAATGTCCGGAGTTGTAGTTGACTTGGTCAATGTCACTGCTCCGAAAATGCGGCCGAAAAAACATCCGGATTTGTATTTAACATGCTGAATGTCATTGCCCTGAAAATGCGGCCGAAAAAATGTCCGGATTTGTGATTAACTTGGTGAACATCACTGATCCGAAAATGCGGCCGAAAAAACATCCGGATTTGTATTAGTGATTAACTTGGTGAACATCACTGATCCGAAAATGCAGCCGAAAAAACATCCGGATTTGTATTAGTGCAACAATGGCCAAAATTTCGGATGTAATTTTGACATGGACCAGACAACCCCCCACGGAATATGTTGATGTCCGAAATTCTAGACTACAAAACTGTGTAGTGTCTGCTTTTTAGACTACACAATTTTGTAATGACCAGTTGAACTCAGGCAGAACTCTCTCAATTCTTAACCGATTTGGATGTTCTTGGGCTCGTTTTGACAGGTAAACCCGTGGGGTTGTGGGTACGGGTACTCTACAGGTCATGTATGGGCCACTTGTCCGATATTTATAGGTTTTTTAGTGTCCTTGATCATGAATGAGTATATGGGTTCATGGGTCTACAGTTGAAGGAGTGAGAAGGGTGGACATTTGCCATTTCTGTATCATTGGTTTATTATGAATAAGTACATAGATTCAGGGTGCTATAGTTGAAGGAGTGATAACGGTGGGCATTTTGCTATTGCTTTCACTGTCTGTGTCACCTCTTCAACCATACATCCCCATGAACATATGTACTTATTCATTGATGTCTGGTCTCCCAAACTTGAAAGTTTGTAGCCCACTTTTCTGACATATAATTTGTAGTGTCCTTCACTATGAATAAGTACATAGGTTCATGGGACTATCATTGAAGGAGTGAAAAGGATGGACAATTTGACATTCCGGTATTTCACTTAGTTTTAAGATTGAACTATGTCATTCTCACTCCTTGAACCATATCTCCATGAACATATATATACTTATACATAGTAAACCAATGATCCAGCAATTGCAAAATGTCCACCCTTTTCACTCCTTCAACCATAGACCCATGAACCCATATACTCATTCATGATCAAGGACACTAAAAAGCCTATAAATATCGGACAAGTGGCCCATACATGACCTGTAGAGTACCCGTACCCACAACCCCACGGGTTTACCTGTCAAAACGAGCCCAAGAACATCCAAATCGGTTAAGAATTGAGAGAGTTCTGCCTGAGTTCAACTGGTCATTACAAAATTGTGTAGTCTAAAAAGCAGACACTACACAGTTTTGTAGTCTAGAATTTCGGACATCAACGTATTCCGTGGGGGGTTGTCTGGTCCATGTCAAAATTACATCCGAAATTTTGGCCATTGTTGCACTAATACAAATCCGGATGTTTTTTCGGCCGCATTTTCGGATCAGTGACGTTCACCAAGTTAATCACAAATCCGGACATTTTTTCG